AGCCAATCACAGCATCAGAACTCTAACCATGTGAGAGAGAGTGGGAACCTCCCAAAACATTGTATTGTGCCACGCCCAACAGAAATAACCCAGGTGGATAGCTCCTCAGTTGCTCATAGAAAATCCCACCTTGGAGTTTACAAAGACTTATGGGTAGAAAAGCCACACTAAGTAATTTACTACACTGCAAGTTTGGAAGCTTTAAGTCTGAGTTCAAAGTGCCAGGCTCTAGGGGCTGAGTGAAAGCCCTTCAATCTTGAGCTTCAGCTCTGCCTTCTGCTCCCAGCCCACTGAAGCTAGAGGCTTTTCTTTACTCAGACAGCTGCTGGCTTCTGAGACTGACAAGCCCAAAGTTGGCAAGTAAAAAGGCACAGTCCCGATGTTATCAAACCATATGGCAGGCCATTAATTCAGTTCCATTGAAAGTCTCAAGGTCAGCAGAGTATAGCAGACTGCTGAACAATGATGACATCATTACATGCAGGGTTCAAGTATGCCGTAAGCTAGAGAGTGTTCCGCAAGAATTATCCTTATATACAGGAAGCAGGCCTCATCCCTAAAGCAGTTACTCAGCTGCTTATAGTATATTCCACCTAGGAGCTGATTACCAGTCTCATCATGGCGAATACTACATCCAAGCTGCCCAGCCACTCAACCACGCCCAGCCAAGTTGACACACAAACTTAACTACCACAGTGGTTAAGGCATTTGGCTACTAACCAAAAGCTTGGTGGTTTGAACCCATCAGTTGTTCCACAGAAGAAAGATGGGGCAGTCTGCTTCCGTAAAGATTTACAGATTTGGAAACACAACAGGTGTTGTTCTGAGTTGGAATCAACTTATAGCAGTGAGTTTGTTTTCTGTTTTGTTTTAATCTCTAATTTACCCTCAAAACTTCTAGCAATAGAATTACCAACTTGATATCTCTCAGATATATCAAAGGTACCTCAGAAACTCTATTTCCTCACCTAATCTATTAAACATCACCCATAAATCTTCTTCTCTCAGTATGCTTTTTCAGTAAATGAGCTAGCACTTATACAAATGTAAAAACTATAAGCCCTGTAATCATCCTCGATCATTTCTCTCTTCTAGCCTTCAACATGTATCTCAAATATTTGTTGATACCACTTTCTAAATATGTATTAACTTTTTCTCATATCTTCCACAATGATAGTAGTCCAAGCCAATATCATCTTATCTAGAGTAAACAAAAAAACAAACAAACAAAAAACAAACTCACTGCCATCAAGTCAGAGCCAACTTATATTGACCTCTCTTTCGGTTTCCAAGGAGGTATTGCCATGGAAGTAGTTTGCCTGATCAAATAGGTCCTAACAAATTTATGACTTTATATTTATTAATTTTGTTACCAGATTAATATTGGTAAGCATACTAAACTGTATGTTCTCCATCAAACTAAGTTTTCTGTCCAATTTTACTAACCATTTTATTTCTAGCATCTTGAACTTTTTTCTTGGTTTATACTGAACATTCAATAAATATTTGTTGAATTAATGGTTAAGTTAATACAAGTAAATTTATAAGTTGTTGTCATTGTTATGTGCTATTGAGTTGTCTCAGACTCATAGTGACCCCTCCTTGGGTTTCTGAGGTCATATCACTGAGGAAGTAGATTGCCATCCTTCCTTCCCAGGAGTGGCTGATGGGTTTGAACTGCTAGAGTTCTGGTTAACAGTCAAGTGCCTTAGGCACTCAGCCACCAGGGTATATAAGTTGTTGTTGTTGTTGTTGTTATGTGCCGTGGAGTCGGACCCGACTCATAGTGACCCCTCCTTGGGTTTCTGAGGCAGTATCACTAGGGAAGTAGATTGCCCCATCTTCCTTCCAAGGAGTGGCTGGTGAGTTTGAACCGTCAGCCTTCTGGTTAGCAGTCAAGTGCCTTAGGCACTACACTACCAGAGCTCCTATATAAGTAGTATCTTATTAAATATATGCAAGTATGAAACAATTATTCATAGCCACATCAGGTAAGTGAAAAATCTGAGAAGTAACAGACTAAACAAATAGAGCACAATAAAATTTGCTTTCAAACTTCAATTTGAAACTTCAATTTCACAGTCTTAATTCCTGAATTTAACAAGATGCATCAAACTTTATAGATTGTTTATTTTCCATTTTACTTAACATATAGACCAATTCTTAATTTTGTTAATTCTTAATGCTGCTGTAATTGTTATAAGAAGTTATCTATGGATATAGGAAATAATGTCAATGGGAAGCATTCTATATTTCTTTAAAAATGGGTTTTTGCAATGCAAACAATTTAGAAAGAAATATTATAATTTTATACAAGGAAATGTTTATCTGCTCCCTCCAAATTAAGATTAACAGTTAAGATTCATACCAAAATGTGTCTAAAGTAGTCATCATACAAAGGTAAAAGGAATTAGAATAGGAAATAAGAAAAACAGATGTTGTTTGGACTATTCTCATTGTTTTCTATCATTTGTTCAGTGTTTATCACATTATAGATATTGTGCTAAGCAATTTATACATACAGTAACTTAGGACCTATTATTACCATTATTTTATAGGTAAGAAAATTGAGGATTAAAGAGATTAATCCAAACCTTGTCCTTAATTCAACTTCTTTGTGATTCCAGAAACAGCATATAACATCAAATTGCCTTCTCAGTAATTATTTCAATTTGAGTCATGACATCATGAAAAGTCAACAACAACTTTTTGTTACTACTAATAGCATTTGATAAGGAGACATGTCTATTATAATTAATGAGGAAGGAGATCACTATGTGTATTATACAATGCAGCTTTTCCAAGATATGTAAGGAGAAAATTGATTATTCTTACCCATGAATTCAATTCCCAAGTGGTCTGCTACACCAAAGTTAGCATGTAAAGAAAAGAAACAGAAAAACAAAAAAAAGGTTAGGAAAAATCCATACAGGATCCAATGCCTTTAAGACTGACTTCTGAGGCAAAGATGTCTCAATCTTAACTATCATTTTTTTACTAGAAATAGTTAATTTGCAAATTACAAAAAAAAAATTATATAGGGGTAATTTTCATGCTGATCAATTGTTTTCCAAAAATTATAGACTACAATTTTAGATAGAAAAGTATGTATAAATTATCAACTATGCAAGTATAAGTTTAGAAGGAGAAAAAAAGAAAAATAATTTATACAAAGAAAATTGTTACTAATATT